GAGAAAATGGAAAGATTGAAAATTTTCCCCCTTCAGGGTCCTTCTAGACCTAAATCTTTCTCCTTGCTTAGCAGTGGGGTTAAACCACGGTTTCCCAACACCCCCCCCGCACTGTGGACAATTTGGGAGGCTGCTTTGGGGGCGTCCCATGCATTGTGGGGTGTTTGGCAGCATCCCAGGTTTTGATGCCAGGAGGACCCCCAGGCGTAACAACCACAAATGTCCCCAGACATCGCCCAGTGTCCCCTGGGAGTGGGGGGACAAATTGCCCCTGGTTGAGACCCTCTGGGTTTAACCTCTTTAACCAGAATGAATAACCGGATTTGCTCATTAGCATGTTTAAAAAATTAGCATGTTTTGCCTGGGAGAGTTAAGAGGTCCCTTTCGCCTACTGTAGAGATGGGAAAGTGAGGCCGGAGTCGGCTGGGGCCCCAGAGCAGAACTGGAACCAGACCGCATCCTGGTCTCTGGGAACAGGCCCTCCGGTGCCACGTGGCAGCAGCAAACTGGACTCAGGGAGTGACTGCAACGGGTGGCGTGTGCCTCTCCGCCTCAGTCTCTTCACTCTGCTGATTTCCCAAAGGGCCCCCAGGGTCGGACTTTTCCCGCCGCCCAGATGGGTCTCGAACCCTCAACTCAGAGCTCGCCCCTCTCTCCTGCCGGTCACGGGAGTAGCGCTCAAGAAAGGGGCGGAGCGTGGCGGAGCGCGCGCGCGCGCCCTTGTGGGGATTGTAGTTCAGGCTCCGCCTCCGCCTCGCGCTGACTCCGCCCCTGGAACTACGCTCCCGTCGTGCCCCGCGGCGCCAGGCGGTGAAGAGGCGGGGCAGGCGGGCTGGTTGCTAAGACTTGGTGAAGCGCAGCGCTTCCGCCCGTCTCGTCAGGTAAGCGCACGGCCCCGGCGTCTCGGGCTCTTGCGTCCCGGGCTCTTGCGTCCCAGGCTGCCGCGGAGGGCGAGCGGGAGCTGGGGCGGGGGTCGCGGCTGCGGTGGACGCCGGCCGCTCGGGTAGCTAGGAAGCAAACTGGGCCGGGCTCGTGCGCGCCTCGGGCGGGCGCGGGGAGCGGCGCGTGTGCGTGTGCGTGTGCGCGTGCGCGCGGGGCTGCCGAGCCGCGGGACCCCGCTCTCCGCGCCATCGCCCTTCTGCGCGTGCGCGCGCCCCTGCCGTCAGTGGTGGAGACCCCGTGCCCCAGCTGTTTCCGGCGTGCCTTGCCCAGAGGTCATCGCGGCCAGCCCTCTACCTTTGGGCTGTCCAATGGACTGCCCACTTACCAGCTTCCCGCCCGCTTTGGGGGAAATGCCCCAATCTTTCTGTACGTCCTCAACATTGATAATCTTTCCTGAAAGGAAACTGTGAGTTTTCAAGACCTTTAAAAATTGTGATCGCGGATCTCTCCCACACCCCACATGCACGAGGTTCTCGAATTTTCATGCACGAAGGCCCACTTATAGGGTGGTCAGGTTCTGCAAATAAACACGCAGGTTGCCCCCTTAAATTGGAATTTAGTGTAAACAACACACACACATATATATTTTAGAATACGTATATCCCAGTGATTGCATGGGACACAACAATTATGCTAAAAATTTATCTGATCATCTGGAATTCGAATTTAGCGAGGCGGTCCTGCATGTTATCTGCAGACCCCACTCTGTTGGGGAGCTTGTCAGAAATGCAGATTTGGGGGCCCTCCCCCTTCTATGGGGCCGAGTCCTGGAAACCGTATTTCAAACCAGCGCCCACCCGGACTGTGTGAGTGTTGGAGACTCCAGCCCTGGCTGTTCCTTCTGCCCAGGGCTCCCCACTCTCCCTCCAGGCCCAGCTCTGGGTCATCGCCCCTGAGGAGCCCTCCTGGAGTCTGCCCGTTGCAGGGCACTGGGCCCCTGAGCCTCCTGTGGATTTTCTCACTTTCTGCCCCAGGCAGCCATGCATGGTGGGTGGCCGTGGATCCCATTTCACAGAGGGGGAAGCTGGGGGTGGGGTTAGGACAGGTAACACCAGGTCTCAGCCAGGAAAACCTGGGCTGGGTGAGGGCTTCGGGCAGGGCTGGGACACACCCAGGGGTGAGATAAGGCCCCTTCCTCTGGTTGGGTGTCACCTTCAGAGCCTGACTCAGCTTGCTGAATAAGCCCCGTTGCCTCCTCGGACCCCAGACCCACAGCCCGGGAGTTCCAGGGCACCCAGTGAGGGGACTGGCTGTTAGGTGTCCTGACTCCCTGGTTCTGCAGACCCTCCAGGGCCTGCCCCACGCAGTTGAGCCCTCCCTGAGCCTGGCAGCCGGTGCCCGCCGCAGAGGCTACAACCGTAAATGTAAACAGTTGTGAAAGGGGCTCCCTCCCCTATTGGAACACAGGTACCTTTAGGAGGTGCCCTCGCTGTAGGCAGAGGGAGGTGGATGCACCCAGGGAAGGGCCTGAGCTTGGCTGGAGCAGCAAAGAGCACAGTGGGGAGGGTGGGGCGCAGTGGGGTGCCCAGAGCTGGGGGTGGATGCGGGGCTTCAAGGACGAAAAGAGGAACAGGTCAGCCTCTGAGCGCGCGCGTTTAGATCCCCGCAGACGATGAAGCAAGTCGCTGGGTGGGTCACCCTCTGCGGACCCTGTTTCTCATCTGTAGAAGGGGCTCAGGAGCCCCATCGTCTGGGGCTCAGAAGGCAGAGTCGGGGAGCTGCTGGCCACCTGGCCTCAGCGTCTGGTCCTGGCTCTGTCCTCCCAGCCACATGGCTCCAGGCAAGTTCCTTGGCCTCTAGAAAGGGAACAGCCCCACAGTCTCTGTCCTGGGTCATGGGAAGGAGTTGGGGAGCCTGTTCACAGCAGTGTGAGGACGTGCGGTGGTTCCAGCACCAGCAGCGGTCACGAGGTGCTGGGCCTCGTTTGGGGCCGGCTGCCCTGGCGACCACCAGATGTCCCCCACCACCCCCAAGGAGCAGCAGCTTTACTGAGATATGATTCACACACTGTGTGGTTCACCCACTTAAAGTGTATGTTTGAGTGTATTTACTGTGTTGTGTGATCATCACGTCTATCTAATTCCAGAACATTCCATCCCCCCAACAGGAACTCTGTCCCCATCAGCAGTCATTTCCCATCCCCTCCACCAGCCCCTGACAGCCACGAAGCCACTCTCTGTGTCTGTGGATTTGCCTGTTCTGGACGTTTCCCATCAATGGAATCACACCCTGTGTGTCCTTCTGTGTCTGTCTTCTCTCACTGAGCATCGTGTTCTCAGGGTCCAGCCACGTAGCGAGTGTCGGGGCTTCACCACTTTTCATGGCTGAGTGATACCCCTGTGTGTGGAGGGACCACGTTGTGTTTATCTGTCCATCTTTCTGTGGACATTTGGGTTGTGTCCACCTTTTGCTGCCGTGAATCCTGCTGCTGCAAACATGCGTGTGCAGGTGCCTGTGTGGATGTGTGTTCCAGTTCTCCTGGACACACACCTAGGAGCAGATGGTGGCCTGCTGTGGTATTTAGGCATCCTCCCTGGGAGCCGGCAGCCCGGCCAGCAGTGTCCCAATGGCAGCCCCCTGTATTTGTCACTTGTTTTATTTTGATCAGACAGAGCTTGCATTCTTGGAGACACAAACAGGACTGTGTCTGTCTTGCCCGGGAGACAATTTTATCTTGCCCGGGAGACAATGGGAGCTTTTGTGGCCTGGGGCAGGCTGTGCAGGCCCTGGCATCCTGGGCACGGTGTGTGCCGGGAGCAGATTCAGAGCCAGTGCCCTGGACCCTCCAGAGGGCCCCGCCTGGCATGGGCGTCATGGGCACCCGAGGGGCCCGTCCATGCTGGCCGCTTCTCAGAGCTGCCACCTGCACCCCTGGTCCTGTGCGTTTGCCAAGCTCATATCGTGAGCTTTGGACAGGCAGTGGTGGGTGAGGACCTACCATGTCCTCTGGGGGGCCTGTGAGCCGGGGCGCATCACAGGAGCAAAAGCCTCGTCCCGGGGGAGAGGCAGAAGGGGCTGGCCCACTCCGAGACGCCGCCAGGGTGCAGGGCGCTGCGGGCATGGCACCGAGATCCTCTGGGGTCCCGCGAAGGTCATCTGTGGTGCATTTCTAACGTCATCCAAGGCAGCCCTGACCAGTAGGAATATAATGCGGGGCACGTATGTGAGATGAAGCGTTTAGAAGCCATATTTTTTTTTTTTTTTTGCGGTAAGCGGGCCTCTCACTGTTGTGGCCTCTCCCATTGCGGAGCACAGGCTCCGGACACGCAGGCTCACCAGCCATGGCTCACGGGCCCAGCTGCTCTGCGGCATGTGGGATCTTCCCGGACCGGGGCACGAACCCGTGTC